TGAATTAAGAATTGACAACGTAGAACTTAAGACACCCCGTATAAGCGCTCCGTCGCCATCTTCAGCAGCAAACGAAGAGTTCCAATTCCAATGGCACTAGTAACTGTGTGATTATTTATCTGTCTCGCCCTTTCTTTGAGTGTTGAGCGTCGGCAAAATCCCCTGGTAACTCCTCGCAGCGCCATTCTCCTCAGACCGTAATGATCTATTTGCACTTCCGCACTGTTCACTTTCTCCCAATGGGCCCTCACAACGTCTAGCTTGTCATACATCAGTACACCACCAAGTGGTGCAGAAACGGCCAGTCTATCTGCCTGCTCATTTCCCAACACACCACCATGACGCGGAGAGAATATCCAGAGAATGCCATATATCCAGGACCTTTGAAGTGATACTTGCCACTCTGCACGAAGCATACCTTTCTGCACCTTTCTCAGCATGCTCTGTGAGTTAAACCGACTCTCTTCGTTGCCACCTGAAGATGATATTAAGCACATAGCATGCTCTCTGTAGCTCCCGCGAGCAACAAAGAATGGCTTACTAACAGTTTCTTTAGAGGTGTGTGTTGTGTACGTGTTTAGGGTATGCCTGAACTTCATAAGCACAAATGCGCACTTACTAATTCACTTACTCTCGTGTTCACTCAATAATTAATATACTCACTCCCACGTAATGTACTCACACAGGGAGCCCTCCTCCACTGCCCCCCCCCCCCACCACCTACCCTAACCCTCGTTCACATATTGTTTGTTCTTGCTGCTGTGGTTTAAAATTTACATAAAAATTCGTGAAAAATATAGTTATGTATGAAGAAAGATATAAAAAAGTGTAGAAATATATCAATGTTCCTCCCGTTCTCTCTGATTATCTCTCACTCTATCTTTCTCTATCTCTCTGTCTCTCTTGATCTCTGTCTCTCTCTCTCTCTCTCTCTCTCTCTCTCTCTCTCTCTCTCTCTCTCTCTCTCTCTCTCTGTGTGTGTGTATCTCCCTGTGTGTCTTTATCTCTATCTCTCTTTGTGTATTCTTTCGATGTCCCTTTGCAGCCCGGTGCTTAGCTATTTCAAGTGCAGCAAGAGTGTCACTATTTTTTTTTTCTTCCCCCCTCCCGCCCACCATTGATAATGCTTTCTGCCAACCCACTGTGGGGGTAAACTGTCGATGGTAAGTGTGTTTGTGTGTGACAGTGAACAAGAGAGCAAGGGAAAGAGACAGTGTGTGTTAGAGGTTGCGCTGACATTATTTATCCATACTTTACTATGTTGCCTTGCGGTTTCGATTGTGGGGACAACTTTTGTGATTCTACTTAAACTCTTAAACCTGTACACACTTTTGCAGACTTGATATGACTCGATTCCGGAAGTGAATTACTACGCATTTGATTGGCAGCTTTAAAATACAAAACACACTGGCGGATGCAACATAACTTTTTACAGATTCTGTTGTTATCTAATAAAACATGCAAAACAAAAATACATGCACACGGCTTTAGCTTTTGTACTAGCATTCTAAAAACGCGGCAAAGCAAGTGTATTTTTTACGTGTCACGGTTTAAACGCTTCGAAATGCATTTTATTGTTCACAAAAAGAGTAAACAATTAAAAAGTAGTTCAGCATGTGTGATTACAGGAAATATTACTGAATAGCAGCAATGTAAGATTTTATTTTGTTGATTTCAAGCATATGCTGTGATAGGAAATTAAAAAGTAAGCGTGCAAAAAGATAATAGTGTTATTTGTTCTGCGTCAGGGCCCCGTGAAGATGGAGAGGTAGACTGGGCGTCAGTGCACCGTGAAGATAGACAGGTAAACTCTGCGTCAGGGCCCCGTGAAGATGGACAGGTAGACTGGGCGTCAGGGCACCGTGAAGATGGACAGGTAGACTCGGCGTCAGGGCACCGTGAAGATGGACAGGTAGACTCTGCGTCAGGGCACCGTGAAGATGGACAGGTAGACTCGGCGTCAGGACACCGTGAAGATGAACAGGTAGACTGGGCGTCCTGGCACCATAGAGATGGACAGGTAGACTGGGCGTCAGGGCACAGTGAAGATGGACAGGTAGACTGGGCGTCAGGGCACCGTGAAGATGGACAGGTACACTGGGCGTCAGGGCACCGTGAAGATGAACAGGTAGACTCGGCGTCAGGACACCGTGAAGATGAACAGGTAGACTGGGCGTCCGGGCACCATGGAGATGGACAGGTAGACTGGGCGTCAGGGCACAGTGAAGATGGACAGGTAGACTGGGCGTCAGGGCACCGTGAAGATGGACAGGTAGACTGGGCGTCAGGGCACCGTGAAGATGGACAGGTAGACTGGGCGTCAGGGCACAGTGAAGATGGACAGGTAGACTGGGCGTCAGGGCACCGTGAAGATGGACAGGTACACTGGGCGTCAGGGCACCGTGAAGATGGACAGGTAGACTGGGCGTCAGGGCACCGTGAAGATGGAGAGCAAAGGGTGGTGAAGACGATGTTTTTTTGGGGGGAAGGGGGGGGGTGGTGGGTTTGGTCAGTCATCACCTGTATTATGCAACAATATTTCTATAAGTGGCTTTGTCTCCTGCATTTCACAACATATGCTTAAACCCTGTAACATCAAAGATAATGTAAAATGAATAGGTATGAACAAATAGCATTCTTATCAGATAACTTTTTTTTTTAAATAGTATCACTTACAATAATCTGTTTTACCCTTCTTGTCTATTCCAAACTGACGAGAACTATTTACATATGCAACATAACAAAGATATTTTTAGTTTTTTGTTCTTGTCCTAATAGGCTGGTTGTTAGAATCACTACCCACCCAATTCGGGCTCTAGGGCTCCTTTTTGCAGAACAAAAAGTAGACCCTCTTCCCTCTAAAAGCATGTCATAGACGGTGACTAATCCAGGGTGTTTCTTTCGAAGTCGGAGTGCATCTGTCTGAGGCAAGGAACCAACAGTCTGTATACACGTAAGCCAGATCTGTAAAATGGATGTGCATGCAAAACAGAACCACAGTCCAGGAGTGAACATATAACCCGAACTTGTTGACGGGTTTTACACCCAGTGAACGCGAAAAAGAAGAAGACTTACTACACAGGATATCCTACCTCGGATAAGAAGAAGTGCACTATGTTGTGCAAGTATATCTCAGTCCACACAGTCAGTCAAACAGTCAAACCAGTCTATACATTGTGAACATGGTAACTTCTGAACTACATCCACCTACTTCCCTTCAGGACAAATTACAAGCTCTCTTTGTCACGATTACTTTTGAAAATGGGGAATTTAAATCACATTAGCATTACGCCTTCCTTCTTCAAATTGAACATTGAAAATTATATGTAATTTCCATAATTTCTCGTAATTGCCTTGTTGTAAATTACATTGTCTAGAAAAATGAAATCAAACTACTCTCAATCATTATTTCTTTTCCTTCTGAACAGCAATGGAACTACATGGTCCTCATCCAAGGTTCTTGAAGACTCCTAATTTCTACACTGTTGAGGTCGGGTCTGTAGCTGTATTGGAGTGCGCAATTGAGGATTTAGAAAACCGACGTGTAAGTTAATTTTTAACTCACTAATGAGGTTATTTTTTTTTTAATGAAAATGTTTAGTTGGTAACGTTGTTTGTAACATCGTGTGTCAAGTCGGTAAACTCATTATTTCTCTAAATAACACTGACTTTTACATAAAGAATGTCGGTACACAGGAGTGACTGTAGCGTCAAGAGCAAATGTTGATCGCATCATCTATAAAAGTATCAGTCTAGCTTCACATATTTGATAAGTTGATGGTGTTAAAATTGTACTTTAATTTTCCTTTTTACTGCATTTTTGGGGGGTCGCCGTGGCAGAGCGTCTAGAAGCTTGCCACGGATCGGAATGACGTGGGTTCGCTGCCATGGTGGAGCCGGACTTTTTTCAAAAATGACCTTGGCTCCCATGTCGACCCAGCCTTGAGTAAGTACCGGATTCATTCCGGGGAAGTAAAGGCGACCTGTATGATGCTGACCACATCACCCAAATTGTGCTAATTGGTCTATAAAATATAGGTCTAGCCCTATATGCCCTATACGCCTACAGGTATGGAAAACGGTTCCTTACTTATCTACTTACTGCCCTTTTCCCCCTTGGCTTTATATCTGTCGCTATAGATATCTAGGCTGGTTCGATACCTTTGATATCTTTAAAGTCTCCGTTCTTCCGTCAGAAAAACGGCACACAACTGTGTGGTCAGTCACGCATTATTCGAGGATCATGTAAGACGTGTTAGTAGTAGCTAGCACCGCTGCCGCAGGATGAGTTCAAGTATGTTTCCTAGGGGGGAATATTGTTTTATACAGCTCATTTATTGATCAGTGTAAAACTGATGTTAGGAAAATATTTGAAAGTTAAAATAATTTAATACTTTAATATCTGCACCGCGGGAAACTTTGAGCATCGCCTTTTTGAGTGAAACTGCGCATGCAACCATCCGAGGCTTTGATATAATAAACTGTAACTGAAGAATACTGTTTGCGGCTTTGAAACAATGGTTTGCGGCTTTGAAACAACGGTTTGCGGCTTTGAAACAACGGTTTGCGGCTTTGAAAAGCCCTGATTGTGCAGATGGTAATGCCTAGTCTATATCCTAGTTCCTAAACGACATTTCTTTTCTCACCAGTATTCAATCGAGAGTTTCTACACTCAGCTAAGAATCAAACGTTTAGAATCAAGTAATCCTATGAGAATCTGATAATCAAGAGCTCTAGCACCAGTTTGAGAATCAAGAGCTCTACCACCAGTCTGAGAATCGAGAGCTCTAGCACCAGTCTGAGAATCAAGAGCTCTAGCACCAGTCTGAGAATCAAGAGCTCTAACACCAATCTGAGAATCAAGAGCACTAACACCAATCTGAGAATCAAGAGCTCTAACATCAATCTGAGAATCAAGAGCTCTGGCACCAGTCTGAGAATCAATATCTCTAGCACCAGTCTGAGAATAAAGAGCTCTAGCACCAGTCTGAGAATCAAGAGCTCTAGCACCATTCTGAGAATCAAGAGCTCTAGCACCAATCTGAGAATCAAGAGCTCTGGCACCAATCTGAGAATCAAGAGCTCTGTGACCAGTTTTAAAATTATTAGCTCCTATTTCAAATTGATATTTAACCGCTCCTAAAATAATTTGAGGATCTAGTTCTTCTACAACAATTTGATAATCGAGAACTCCAAACCAGGTTGATTAAAGAGCCCACACGCAATGCTGAGAATCAAGAGCTTCAACATCATACAGAGCAGCAACAGTGTCGTGGCATCCTTGAATCCCTACTCCATCCAACAAATCGCTAGGTACAGTAACCTAAGGGCAGTTGGAGCCTCTCACAAGAAACAGAAGACTACGCTAGATTACTTTCTAGAATACTTAGACTAGTCAAAGGAGCTCGTGATTAATCTAAACACTCAACACATCGGTTACTGAGACAGACGCCCTGAGGATCGTCAGCCATCTCCTGTAATGACTACGTTTGTTTCGGAGTTCTAGCGAATGGAACAGAAACATTAAAAGATGCCACCAAATGATATACAATAGGAGTGACTCTACTGTTTACTTAGAATATGAGAGAAACCGCCTTGTGAAAATGTGTAACCTCAAACACTACGAATTTTTTTTTTTTGGGGGGGGGGGGGGGGGGGTGGGGGGGGGGGTGTCCTATTCCAATCTCACTAAGAATATGATTAATTTTGTTTTTGAAGGAACCTTTGCTCTCATCACAGAGCACACTAAATTGTATCAATTCAAGACTGCTTTGGCAAATGCGTCAGCGTCTGTGGCTTAGGCGTTGCGAACGCGCTTTGTAATGCCGGGGTGCCGGGTTCGATCCCAGCTGCGGGACTTGCGCCTTGCTTTGGTTTCGACAGTGGTATCAAGACGCCGACCGTTGAGAAAGCAATGGCTACTGGATGTAAATTTGCCTTAAAAAATCACAACAGCTAAATAAAATTGCTGGGGTTGGTTCTGCAACATCCTGTAAATCTTCTTCTTCTTCGCGTTCACCAACTGTACACTCTGGCGGAAAGTTCTGGTTGCTCGTCCACTACTAAACTGCAGTCCTGCTCCAGAACCTAAGTGTTGCGTGTGCGTCTGTTTTACAGATCTCATTCTCTTGAATACAGACTGTTGGTTCCTTGCCTCTCCGGCAGATGCACTCCGACTTCAAAGGAAGCTCCCCAATTAGTCGACTCTTACGACATGCTTTTTGGGGGGAGGCAGTGGGTCTATTCTTGTTTTCCCCACAATGGGACCCTGGAACCCACACTGGGGATCCTGTAAATGATACCCAACTAACTTTTGGCGAAAGCACAGCTGCAATATATCACATGTGACATCCATCAGTGATTTCTAGTTAGCTTGTGCCCTTCCTCAGATATAGGCAATCTTCATTTAGACACCGAATCTTAAAATATAAAAACGCAGAAAATTAGATAAAAGTAAAGTTTTGCATCGTTGAAAAATGGCATACATTCAGGTTTTCAACAGTTCAACTGTGGAAATTTAGCTTACGATAAATTAGAAATTTGCATCCTTGTGAAATCTGTTTCTTATGTATTTTGCCTGTCGGTTTTGTTCACCATGTCCATCCAGAAAGTGTGCTCTGGCGTATGAATCTCTAAAACTGACCATTGATGAAACTTATCGTGATATCTGTTCTTCCCAACAGCTCAGTATTTGTGATCCTGTCTTGCCACTTAATGCCAACTATTCTTTGTAGGCATCGCATGTGAAAGCTTTTTGCCATTTCTTGTGGTATGAATATACTGACCTAGCTTCACTGAGGTATAGAAGGGCCACATAAGGTCTCGCTAATGTGCTATCGATGGTTCATTTTCATCCATTGACTTTAAAGGTGGTCATGACCTTGAAACCCAGGTCATGCCCACTCCAGTGGATCATTCAGAGTTACGTTGGTTTGGACATGTATGCAGAATGGGGGAGAATGGGCCACCACAACAGGCATGAAAGGCCAAGAATCAGGTAACTAGACCACATCGGCGACCCAGGGTTCGCTGGGAAGGCAACATCCGACACTGTCTGAGAACAAAGGACTGGAATGGATCAAAGCTAAAAACTGCTGATAGAGAAGTATAGCGATCTCTCTAGCAAACATCAACACCCCAAGGTAGAAGAGGAGCGACTAAGTAAGACTTTGAATGTTAGATCAGGTAAAGTTTCGTTACGGTTAGGAATATTAAGAAATTAATTATAAATTTCTGGTCTATCAGGTTATATGGAGAAAAGCGTCAGATCCAAACCCGTTGACGGTGGGCCGTGAGTCCTTCTACAATAACGACAGGTATCTGGTTGAACACGAGCCAGGAGAGGATACATGGAACCTCATTATACAGCAGGTGCGGCTGTCTGATGCGGGCGTTTACGAGTGCCAAGTCAGCTCCCGGCTTCGACATTTGAGGCAGCACGTGCTGTTGACAGTCAAAGGTATTGATTGGGTTGATATGTTACTTTCGAGTTTACTTTAG